TTCCAGACTGATGAACTGTATTCGAGTATTGGTCTAGCAAATGTTTTGTATGCTCTGGTTAGTAGTGTGATATTACCAGAGAAAAAACTACGTAGGATTAGGTTAACAACTCTTAATGCCTTTTTGGCTATGTAGTTGCAGTGTGCTCTAGCACTTAGATCATTAGAGGTGAGTATTCCAAGGTCCTTTACAGAGCTTGGGTCATCAACAAGATCTTGACTATTCAGCTTGTATTTTATTTTCAGATTTTTTTTGCCAATATGTAAGACAGAGCATTTATTTGTTGAGATTTGAAGTTGCCATTTGTTTGACCATTCTGATACATAGTCAAGATCTTTTTGTAGGGTAGCAGTATTGTCTGTGGTATTGAACAGCTTTACATCATCAGCGAAGAGAACGCAATTGCTCTTAATATGATCACAGAGGTCGTTTATGTAGAGTATGAAGAGAGTTGGTCCTAGAACACTGCCCTGGGGGACACCACTATTGACAGGTACTGGATTTGATAGGACGCTCCCGATTTTGACCATTTGTTGTCTGTTTGACAGGAATGCTTCTATCCAGTTATTCAGTTGTCCAGAGATACCATAGGACTTTATTTTTAGGAGTAGTTTGTCGTGTACCACTGAATCAAAGGCTTTACAGAAGTCTATGTAGATTGCGTCTATTGCTTTGCCCTGGTCGAGTTGTGTCGTCCATATGTTTTTGCAGTGTAAGAGTTGCAGATTACAGGATAGTTTTTTTCTGAAACCAAATTGTTTATTGGAGAGTAGGTTGTTTGTCTCTAAGTGGAGGATGATGGATTGGTTAATAATTGATTCCATGACTTTACAGGTGACGCAGCATAAGGAGATTGGCCTGTAATTTTCAACTAGGCTCGGGTCTCCCTTTTTGAAGATGGGGATGACTGTGGCTTGTGACCATAGGTTAGGCAAGGAGCTGGTCCTGAAAGATTTTTCAAAGATTATGCTTAGAGGTTTGGCTATGGCAGTGGATAGCTTTCTTAAGAAGTAGGCACATATTCCATCCGGTCCAATAGATAGAGATGGTTTTAGATTGCGTAGTGATTTTTCGACATTGTCTTCTGTGAAATCGATATGTATTAGATCATTGTTGTTATCTGTGGTACGGCTAGGAAATATTGGGCATGATCCATTGCTGTTTACAAATACTGAGCCGAAGAATGTGTTAAAGATGTTGGCTTTAATGGAGTCGTCGTTGCAGTCTTTACCATCAGGTCCTATCAAGGGAGGGATGGACCTTGAGTCTTTTAGTTTGTTGTTTACAAAATTGTAAAAAGCACGGGTGGAATTGGTGCTTAGAAGATTTTCCTCTTGTTTAATGTGATAATTGGTGCATTCGGTCTTTATCTGGTGGCATAAATTTTTGTATCGGTTTTTGAAATTGGCAACGTGACCAGATTTGTTTTTCCGCCAGAGTGATCTCTTTTTGGATTGAAGTTTCCTTATTGATATGGGTAATCTGCTTTTTTGTTTTGTTTTGGGAGTTGTTGTTGGTACATATAGTTTGATGACTCTTTTGACTTCAAGTAAAAATATGTTATAATGGTCTTCAACAGTATTGCATCCAGTGAATAGAGATTGCCAATCAAGGGATGAGAGATCGTTGTCTATAAGATCATAGTTGCCTTTTTTGAAGTTACAATAGGGGATTACATCATTGTGGTGATTTTTGTGTGGACGTATGTTGAGACAAAAGTCAATCATATTGTGGTCACTACTGGAAAAGGGTTCTTTAGTTTGTATTCTGTAAATTAAGTTCAAACTGTTGCAGAAGATGAGATCGAGGCAGTTGTTTAGTCTAGTGTTGTTGATTACTAGTTGTTCCAGTCCCAGATTTGTAATAGCATTGTAGAAGGTTGTGTGTATGATTTCAGTTGTACAATCATTTAGGGTCCAGTCAATATGAGGTAGATTGAAATCACCAAGAAGGATAAAAGGGTATGGGCAGGATGCAGCCCATGTTAGTAATGTATTTAGCTTGTTTACATGTTCGATGTCATAATCAGGTGCTCTGTAACATAGTAAGAATCGAATTGTGATATTTGAGGATAGTTCACAGATGATGGTTTCAGGAAGGGCAAGCTGCTGGGTAACTTGGATATTTTTTAGATGTAAGGATTTTTTATAGAATATAGCAACACCACCTCCTCGACGATTTTCACGATCTGATCGGTAAACATGATAGTCTCTTACTGTGGTAATGGAGTCGGGGAGAGATGCATTGAGCCATGTTTCACAGACAAATATAATGTCGAAGTTAGCCATATTTAGGAGGAAGAGAAATTCAGGTATTTTATTCACGAGGCTTCTTGCATTGAGTAGTTTGCATTTAAGGCCGGCAGTAGTTGGAATTGAGGTAGTTGGGGGCGTGCGTGCCTAGTCTTGGGTGATGGTGGATGGGTTGAGGTAGGGTTGTGGTTGAGGGTAAAAGCTGAGTATTGGGTTG